GGACAGGAATGCCGATACCCACCACTGGAATGCCTGCATGTGCACTCAGTAGCTTGGCAGGAACTGTGACCCTCTGTGAGGGTCCGTTTTGGAGCTTTAGGTCTCGTAAATTATTTTAAAAACTCCTACTGGTATTCTCAACAGGATGCAATCTTTCTGTTGGAGTGCAAAAAATGTTAGTGTTCGTGCGTGTTGGGCATGCAAGCCTGATGTTATTTTGCATTAACGTTACATTATCGCTGTTGACTGAAAAGCTGGCTATGGAAGATGTGCTGTGAAAACACTCTTGTCTCGCTGAGACGATAAACCAAAGATGGGTGCCAATAAACAATAATCCCTGTGTGCATGGGGGGTGTAATTTTTCTTCCCAACAGGCTCTGGTGTGGATGATCCTGTGGGTGAAGTGTCCATACAGATCGACCTGTACACCCACCCAGGAACCGGTGAACACAAGGTCACGGTGAAAGGTACGGCGAAGCATGTGTTAATAACGCATGGGCTCTGTGTGTCGAGGCAAATCTCCAGTTGGCAGTCATTATATTTCTGTGTTAGCTCATGGGATGTGAATCCAGATTTCTTTTTTCTCTGTTTCACATCAGGAACATGTAGCAAAACAGCAAATGAGCTTGTCCAGGCAGTGACATGGCAGTGTACAGTCCTGTTGTTTATTGGCAGTGGTATACATAGTAAACAATATGAGATGATGGGGTCTTGCTTGGGGCTGCAGTTTAGCCTGTGCTGCACAGAGCAGCGTGACAGAGATGTGTTGCGAAATTGCTTGATGTAAACCAAGAGATTGTGGAGCCACTAAGAGTTCAGAGGCTCCTCTCCCCCGTCCTGAAGGCTGCTTTGGTCCCTGAAGAGCTGCTCTGAAAATAACCAAAGCAGTGATTCATCCCAGGCTTCCTCTTCCTCCCTCGTCTCCTTTGCTCGAATACAGCATATTTAATGACTTTAATTTCCTCTAAAGATTAATATAAACAGCTCTTCAGGCCTCTCTTCTCCTGGCTAACTCTACACTGCAATGCAAAAAACTGATTTTCAGAGCTATTTCCTGTGCTTCAGTCTGTTCCCTGCAGTGACCTGAGAGAGAATGAGAATTAAAGAGCTAATAAACCTGGGTTCTGGAACCACCCACAACTCATGGGCTTTGTCTTACCTGCAGTCTCATTTCCCTTTTCAACAGAAACCTTAATATTGACCAAAATGCCCCTTTTTAACTCTAATCCTGCATGTAATGTAGAGATGAGCACTGAACTGGCAAGGCAGCCTTCCCAGAGCTGCAGGAATTAGGAATGCTGGTTTTTTTCGGACTGATTTCTTGACTATGCGTATGGCAAAAGCTAAGTGCTGTCCCAAGCATTAAATTCCCTTCAGAGAACTTACACAGAGGCAAAAAAACATATCTTTGTATTACAAAAAAGGTCATGTTTTGAGTTGGACTTTGTCCTCTGAAACAAGAAATTGAAAGCAGAGCAGGGTGGAAAGGTGTTCAGAGCAACGGGTACCAATGAGTACCTACTCATTAGTTGATGAGTAGCAACTCAGGGAGGCTGTGACTCTTTTGCAGTGGTGGCAGCCAACGACCTGAAGTGGCAAACGTCTGGCATGTTCCGTCCATTTGTTGAAATCACCATGATTGGGCCCCATCAGAGTGACAAGAAGAGGAAGTTCACCACCAAGTCAAAGAGCAACAACTGGGCTCCCAAATACAATGAAACCTTTCACTTGTGAGTGTGAAAAATAGCCTGGGGATCTGACGTGGCAAGTGCAGATGCGGAGGACAAAGAGGTTTTTTCCAGTGTCCACAAACAGTGTGCTCAGGGCCCAAATGAGTACTTGAACCTGTACCTTGGCCAAGTGTTTGGTGTTTTGACAGGAAAAGCTAGATTTTGGGAGTTTTTGCTGTGGGTGGGATGCTGAGGTCTGTTTTATACCAGCAGTGATCTTTGGCTGCCTTCTGAGATGTGTTTTGTGTCCTGCGAGCATACTTTACTATGGTCCATCATTCTAATTAACTTTGTATCTTTTATTAGTAGAGTTGAGGCTAAAAGTTCATTACATATTTTTAGTCCTTTTAATGTATGTCTTTATCCCAACTTGATCTGTGGGACGTGGTTTCCTAACTTGCTTCCAAGGATGCAGCCTTTGGAACTGGCAGTAAGTTGCACTGATAAATTGCAATCTTCCTCAGCACCGAGCATTGATCTTCTCTTATTTGGGTTTCATTGTTACCAAGTCATCTTCCTTCTTGGAAGGCTCAACAAAGGAAACTACAGACCAGTGTTCACCCATCACTAAGAATGAGAGGAGAAGAGATGACCAGCAAAAGACTGTAAACATCTCAGGGGAGAGGGACTGTGCATATAATTTTTCTTTGATGTGAGGAAAGGCAAGCTTATTCTAAGTAAAAGGATTTTGTCCCTTTTTAAAATTCTTTTAATTTTAGAAACATCAGAAAGGTTGGGGATGTATTTTTATTAGCTTTTGCTTTAATGGAAGGCTCTGAATCTTTAACAAAGGCTTCATCTAATTAAAATATTAATTACTGAAATGAAGCAGCCCTGAACAGAAGCAGAAATGTTTAAAGCCATCTGAGTTGAAAATCTATTAGCATGGCTTTAATGTTCTCCGCTGCTCTCATTTCATAGTTTAACACACACACGCAAAGGCAACTTGATAAAGGTTGTTCTTGTTTTCGTTTTAAGTTGCCAGGTTGTCTTTATCAGCTGTAAATCATCAAAAATGCCCGTACTCCACAGGTTTTACTTCTTCCTCTCTGACCAGGGTTTTCTGTAGAAAGGAGTTTTCTGTGGCTCGTGTTAAGCACTCTAGTCAGCTGCTGACACCCTTATCTTGCAGAGGCATTTGTACCTTCTGAGTCAACCTCTGTGTGTTTTTCAGCATACTGGGGAATGAAGATGGCCCTGATGCGTACGAGCTCCAGGTCTGCGTGAAGGATTACTGCTTTGCTCGGGAAGACCGGGTGCTGGGGATAGCAGTGATGCAGCTCAGAGACATAGCAGACAAAGGAAGCTGTGCTTGCTGGTGCCCTCTGGGGCGCAGGATTCACATGGATGAGACTGGACTTACCGTCCTGAGGATCCTCTCTCAAAGAACCAATGATGAAGTTGCCAGGGAATTCGTCAAGTTGAAATCTGAATCCCGCTCCACGGAGGAAGGCACCTGAGCTGTGTAATGTTCCCTTTCCTCTTCTGCCTTGTGCCAATATGTGCAAGTGTTCAACAATTCTCTTTTATTAATTACAAAAGGTTTTTTCATGTTGTCTTTGTCAGCTCTGATAGCGCAAGTGTGCTGTACAGGAAACAAATCCATCAATCTGATGTGAATTATTTATTTTTTAGTAGCTGGGTAAGACACCATAGAGAATGAGACAATCTCTTCTTATTTAAGATGCAAATTCTGCTTTGTGTATATAAATTATTTTATATTGGAGGCTGGGTATGCTGGGTTTTGTTGATATGCAGCACTGTGATTTTATCCTCTGAAGCTGGCAGACGTTAAAAGGGTTCTTCATAATCACACTACGGTATCAACACACAACTGCGTGGAAATTGGGAGTATGAGAATGATTTGGGGTTTTGGCAAAGCACAGTTATCTCTCACTGAATTCACGTACTGTGGAGCTGCCAGGGGATGCTCTGGCACAGATTATACCAATGTCTCAGTGTGATATGCAGACACCTCAACGTCTGCTTGAAAAAGAAGTTGCAGATTGCTCTGAGGATGCACACCGAATTAATGTATGGCGATGGATGTGCTGCTGTCAGCATGGGCGAGACTGGTGGGACAAGTGCAGAGGGGCCTAAAATCTCATAGCCAAAAGCTGCAGAGGCACCACACCAGGAGCAGACTGCAGCTGCTGTTGTAGTTAGATGGTGTGTCTCAGAGAATATACATCCCCACGTGCTGCTGGGAATCCTGCATCACCATGGGGGTGCTGTAAGCTGCTGAACTCCGCAAGTCACACTTTGGCTGCTGTGACCGACATGGTGAGGAAGGGAACAACATTAGAGCCATGACAGATAACATGGCTGTTACATACTTTTTCCACTTCAATATTCTTTTGTTAGGTTTTTTTTGACATAGGATTAGATAGTTTAATACTTGCAGGCTTTCTGTAGCATTTTGTTACCCTGGAGACCACTCCTCACTATGAACCCAGAAACGATGGCTCGCCTGGGAGAGAGCTTCGCTGATCCCGAAGGTGCTGCTGGCCGAGCTGCAGTTGGTCCGTGCTGATTGTCACTTATCTATGATCTAACGATACCATTGAAAATAATTTTTTGCACTGTCTTAAAGGAAGCATTCAGGTTTTGTTTTCTTGCAAAACAAAACACTGTCCAGAGCAAAGTGATTGCAGGGAGGGCCAGAATTTCTGACTGAAGACTTGTAAGCAGGAAGGTCTGGAGCAGTGATTGCACCTGAGGTGTGTTTATTGGAGGGCTTTCACTTTTTTGGGGATTTTTTCCAGCTGCCCTTGTACTCTGGAAGGTGCAGCTGGAACAAACCAGTCCTTGCCCATAAAGTACTGTAATACTGTCAATAAATCCAAGGACTGCATATTGAATGACTTTTATTTTTATTTTTTTTCTATTTTCTCTGACACTTGTATAGCTTTATGATACAACTCCTGTATTTCATGGGCCTGCTCGTAGAGTTCTGAGACGGCACGTCCGCTTTGTTCTTGTCTATGGTGTATTATAATAATGCTCTTCAAAACTTCACGCTATTTGTCATGATTTTGAATCACTGTACGTGCCATTGTTATGAGAACTGTTAGTGCAGTCTTTAATAAACTCTTCTAGCAGCATTTGGAGTCGTCTGTTGAAGTTTAACTGCAGTTTGGTTTGCTAAATCACACGGGGTGGTATCACTGCTGTATCTCTGCAGTTCTCATGTTCAGTACATAGGTATTTCTTTGGTGCTGTAGATGCCCAGCAAGGGGTATGAGCCTGATAGCTCCCCCTTTCTCCATGTCCATCTGACATCTTCCCCTGAAGTTCTTGGCTTCTGGTAACACACAGAGACATCACAGAAAAGCATAGAGGATACGTTAATTCCTTTTCTTCCCTATCTGGCCTTGAAGTCAAGTTTCCTTTTAACTCAGGTACCCTCCTGAAGGTGCTGAATGGAAAGACTCTGACAGGAAATTGGATACTTTACAGATAATACGTGAAGAAATACAATTATATACCGAACTTGATTTGTAGGTTTTGGTCTGATGTGAGCATTAGATGGTATTGACAAAAGAAGAGAGAATAAACCTTCTTGGTGTCAAGTAAACTACTTCGTCTCCTCATTTCTGGGGATACTGCTAGCTTCCAGCAGACAAGCTCAAATAACTCAGAGACTCACGTTTAATGATAGTGTGAGTCTCTGAATTTCTGTGATCAGAGGTGCCATTTTTTCCTTAGGTAACATATGCTCAGCAATGCGAGTGACGTGGCTAACTTGCAGTCCCGCTTGTAGCAGTGTTTCCGTTTCTGGCTTCATCACAGGGAGGTCACTGAGTTTGGTGGCATATCCTATGTGAGGTATTGTTTAAAGCATGACTTAAAGCCCCACTTCAGCCCCACGTTAGATGGTACAGCACAGGTTTCTAACTCGTCAGTATGCCTGCTTGTCATCGCTTTGGCGAGCGCTGCAGCAGAGAGAAACCAATACAGAGCTGTTCAAAGGGAAAGCACTGCCTGTAACCATGTGGAAGAGGCCTGGGCAGGGCAAGGGGGTTTTGTGGTGTTAACAAAGCCAGGAACACAAGACTCCTGAATACATTGCTTATCCCCTGGTCTAGTGCTTGTCCTACAAGTCAAGTTTGTGAACTTTTTAATCATAGACTCAATTTCCATAGATGTTGCTTTGTAACGTGTTTGTCTAAATCCATCTGCCCATCTTGCCTCACTGCTTGGGTTTTCACTCATTGTGATGCTTTCAAATTTTCTTTCCTGCCTGAAAAATCATGCAGATGTGAGCTACAGACATGCAGGCTTTTTGTTGTGCCTGTGGCAACAATGCTGTGTTGTGCGCATGGCTCTTTCTACTTTATCTGAACAATCCTCAAAATGACAGCTGGATATAGGATATACACTGTGTGTGTCAAATATATATGCATATGTAATAATAAATACATTAAATGTGTAAATAGAGTACATATTTTACATATATATATATATGCTGGTGTACCTGGGATCCTGATTTGGAAAAGGTTGTTCCAAGACCATCACGGCAAGGATGACAAGCAGCAGGGAGTGGTAAATTGCCTGCCATCCTACTCATAGTGACACTAACTTCAGCTGGGACAGGAGAGAGGTGAGAGATGAGCTGGATGCTGCTTATGGTCCTGCTGTTTCTGCCTGGGGTCTTTCTGCTGGCGCTGTGGGAACAGCACAGTGATTCCAGACTGAGAGTCCATCTTGTGCAAATCTTGTCTCCAAAAGTAGTTACAAGCAGCTGTCCAGAGAAGAGTAAGAACAAGGTAAACTAATATTTTTTCCTTCTGTTTCACTTTATAGTGCTGGTAATTTTTAACCTGGGGGATGTTCCTGACTCCATGATTTCTCTTCAGTAAGTCCTAAATTATCCTTCTCCTATCCCCCCTTGAGTCCCTGAAAAGGAGTTCTCTGGATTTACGTGTTGTTGCATGAAGACCTTCCTTTTGGTTTGAACCTGGTTCCAACTAATTTAATCTGATTCTCTCTATTCTTTTGTTAAGAAAGATGCTAAAGTGCTGGTCCTATCCACCTTTCCCCTGGGCAATGGAGATATTGTAGACCTGTCATTTCCCACCCTGGTCATTGCTCTTTGAGGCTGCAGTGTCCCAGTTTATTCAGTTACCCCAGACCTATGATAATCTTTGCCCTTCTTTGAATCTTTTCCATTTATATGGGTCATTTCTGAGCTGTGAGGACACAGGATTATGAGGACCAGAACAGCATCCAGCATTCAAAATGTGGACCAGCTTCCAGGAGGAAGCCTTTCAAAGGGGTAGCAGTTTGCTCCTATCTTAAAAGCAATATTCAGCAGATCAAAAAAACACCAACCCTTCGGGCTCGCAGTGGAAGATACTGGCAGGAGCAGGGAGAAGATGTGCTGCCAGGCCTCCTAAGTGACAGGGAGACCTTTAGTAGGACCCCAAAAAGGTCCTGCTGCAACTTAGCGAGTCAGCGCAAACCTGAGAGAGGAAGAAGCCACCCTGCTAAGGTTTCGTGGATGGCAGAGAGCTGATAACAATCCTTTTATTTCTAGCCTTTATTTGAAAAATTAGCTAATTTTCTAAAAATGGAAAGCAAGCAAGAAAGCCTGGCTTTTAGACTTAACAAACTTTTTGATCTTTGAGAAATTCCTTTCTAAAGCTGTGGCCAACTCTGGGTTGTGACACTGCCATAAAAAGGAGTTGGGGGAGTGAGACAGCAGGACTTGAAGGGATGATACATGCTTGTGAGCAGATGAGAAGGATAAAAGGGCCTTTTTGGGGGAGGACATTGTATTTCTGGGTGTGTGATGGGAGAGAGCAGTGACCGGAGGGCAGGGGTGAGGAGGGCGGCTTATTAGTCTTCCTGAAAGAGATGAACAAACTGATGCATGGAGACAAGAAGGCGGGCAGGAGAAAGGGAGGGTTTGGGGAGTGACTGGGGCAGGCTGAGAAGGCAGCTGGTGCTTCAGGCTTGGATTCAGTTTCTCCATTTCTGGGAAGCAGCAGGGAGGGAGAAGGCAGAGGAGGAGGTCAGGCTGCTCATGGGATTTCCTCCAGACACATCATCTTCCTCCTTTTCTGCTCTCAGGCTCCCATTTCCTCCCTTCTAGAGAAAACTCTGGATGTGGGTCTGTGGCCATGTGCAATGCAGCTAACAAGGCTGGTGGTACTCCTGATTGCTTGGTGGGACATACACTGTGGGTCTGAGCCCTACCAGGGAGTATAACTCCCCCAGGCTCCTCTTTTAAACCTTGGACACTGGAGGATTTTTTTTCAGGACCTCAGTTCTCTGATACTTAAAACTATCTTCACAGTTGCTGCCTGTGATCTGTGGCCAATCTAGGCATACTTGGGCTGTTTTGCAGCACAGTGTTGCTTATCATTATGACATCTCTTTAGTAGCTCCTGATGCTTGGACAACATTGTCATCTCCACTAATCTTTGTTCTGCTAAACCAGCTAAGAGCTACCTTTCTGCTTATAAGCAGTGCTCTTCCTTTCCAGTCATATGTGCATAGTACCTTTGCATCTGCTCTAGCGGCCTTTCTAGCATCACTTTTCCCTATCTCCAAGAAAACCTTCTCATTATCAGTCTCTGCCTGTGTGGGCTTCCCATATTTCTCATCCCACCTCCATTGTGTCATCTTACAGTCCTTTCACTAACCCAGTCTCCTCCACTTTCACCAAGAGTTCCCATGTGACATTGTATGCAATGTTGGGTGGTTTTTTGAGTCCACCTAGATTTGAGCTGCCAGATTTGTTCCTAGAATTAGTTTTGCTGAGCTATGACTTATGATAAGATTCAGCTGGTTCCCAAATGACTCTGACTATCTCTTGCTATTGCGCATTTGGCTCTGCAAGCAGCCACTGCTCCCAAGTCATCTCAGAAGCATTTGAGCCAGCTTACA